TAATAATAATAATAATAATAATAATAATAATAATAATAATAATAATAATAATAATAATAATAATAATAATAATAATAATAATAATAATAATAATAATAATAATAATAATAATAATAATAATAATAATAATAATAATAATAATAATAATAATAATAATAATAATAATAATAATAATAATAATAATAATAATAATAATAATAATAATAATAATAATAATAATAAATTTGTTTAAGATTTACAAAGGAACTATGAATTCTATCACTGAACTGGATCGACAGATTTGTAAATCAAGAACATAGTTGTTCAGCGAGTATTCGTTTACTTCAATTGACGATACAACTACAAGATTTAAATTATATTTATATTGCTAAATAGTAATAAATATATAATCACTTTAGTTATATAAACATAAAAATGTGTCTTGGAATGAAATGTATTACATAATTTTAGTTTATTTCATAAACAAAAGTACGAAAGAAAAGGGCATGCCCTTCTTTTATAAAGTTAATGACGAAAAGAAACTGTCACACGGAGCTCAAATGTTAGATAATGTTTGCATGGGACAATCAAATTCTTAGCGAGAGCTCTCTTAAGGATTGAAATGAGCAAATAGGATAATGAAGGTGAAATGAATCGACGGGAAGAGGAAAATTGCCGGAGGTTGTAAGGTATCTGTTGGGAGAGAAAGAGGGGCACAATAAATTAATAAGGCATTTGTTAGAAGCGCTCAAATAGCGCATCCTATCCTACATTCCCCTGGCATAATAAATCGACTACCGAATCCATTCAAGCGCAGATATTTCATATGTGTTACAAGGCTATAAATGAAGACCTAAATATCTTTATTCAGTGCCTTACTATCGAGCATGAAATTGATTGATTCCTCAAGAACTCAATGAATATTCAATCTACCACACAAAACTGTGATTGTAGAAAAAAAAATGTAATCACCGATTGTTGAAAATTTTGAAAATTACGATGAGTGCTGTCTTACATATTTAAGTATTCTTACTAACGACTTAAAATTGAATGGCCGTTATTCAAATTTTCTCTTCAAGCTGGCTTCAGCTGGAAAAAAGATCTGAATTTCAGACATCATCCAAACTAGACTATCACCTCTGCCATTTAATCAAATTTTTGACAAAGAATGCATTGTGTTTATATACCCTGAAATCACCGTTTAAAGAATACCGCCTCAAGAATTTACTTTTCAAAAGTTGTCTATATCTTTCATCCATCTCACACTACTACTTAATCCTTCTTTAAGCACTGTGAGTTTTCCATAAAGCAGTCACTCTGAAAGCATGGCAATAAAATGATTACAATAAACCAAAGATCACTTTCTTACTTAAGACTAAGGACAAGCGTGAGCAGCCCACGTTCTATTTATCACTCGCCTTTTTGCAATATTATCTGTCTTTTCCTTTATTTATGAGTGAGAAGAGTGGATAAAATACCAAAAAAATCAACAAAGAAAAAAGAGAATGTATCGCAAGAAAGACAAAAGAAAACAGGAAGAAAAAGTAATGAATGAAATAAGGACAGTAATGAAGCAGAAAGGATAGATTATAGCAGGATATAAATGTGCACTCGATAAACTTAAGAGAGGAGGATCTAATAAAGATATCTCTATTGCGGAGATGAGGGATGAAAGAGGAAGAGGTCGTTTTCATAATAGCAGATGGCCGCGGGGACCTTCATGAAGAGGGAAAACATTGTTCTTAAGTCACTATCGATATATTAATGCTCCCGGTCGATCCTTAAACGATTGTTATGTGCTATCAATTATTACCACTGTTAAAAACGATATACACATGGAATTTGCTAGACTATTTCACTTGATTTCTAGACAAAAAATGGTCTTTGTTTTAAAAAAAAGTCTCAGGAAATCAGGTAATTCCGAGTAAACCACCGGAAAATTTTGTTGCTCACATTGGTTTATATATGTATCATGATCCAGCACGAATCCTTAGTCGTACTGAGCAAGGGAACCTCTTATATAAGAAATCAGTGCAATTATTCAGAAGCGACGAACATGAAAACAGGATTGGAGAGGAATATGACCAATCAGAGGATACGAATTGTGTGGAAAATACGAAAACATTTAATTTTTCAAGGGGAAATAAAACTAATGTGAACGGAGAGGGAAAATGAAGTCAAGATGGGAGGAGGAATGTGGAGAATTGGAGGACTGATAGTATAAGGAAGTTGGAGACGCTCACTCATCGTACAGCTACTGTTAACGATTAATAGAGTGGCGCTTGTTAAACAGTCAAATTGTCTAAAAATGAATTTGGAATTTTAAAGGAACAAAACGACAAAAACTTCATTATCTTACAACAGTAAACAGTATGAAGCTCTCTGCACCATTGTTACCCTCTCATGGAGATAACACTACAAGATAAGGTTTATGTTTAGTCCAGATAAACTGTGCAGTAAATCGACAGGATTACATGGCCATAATGGAAAGGAGTTTAATGGAATCATGAGAAATTTTTAAAAAGTTAAATATAAGTTGTCTGAAGATTACTGAATCCTTGCTTTATCTGAGAACTCCTATGGCAAGTGCCGGTTCTCTACAGACGACATGTCTCACTTAAAGTTTAAATATATTCCCCTTAAGTATCATCTGCTTGTACCGCTTCAGTTTTATGAAATTTGGAAGTAAAACAAACAACCAGAAGCCAATAGGGAAATCAAATTTATTCATGGGAGGCGAATAAAACGGAAATGGAATAATGGAAATAGAATAATGGATGCTCGAAAGGGAAAAATGAGTCTAGACTAGATTTGGAACCGAGAAAAGGAAAGCAGCAGCGGCAGTCATTGGCGCAATGGAGCAACAAGAGGTTATGGAGCCGTTGTATAGCTTGAAGACATTTCAAGGGACAATTTTATTTCCCTAAAATACACTAACCGATGGTAAACGAGCTAGTTGACATCGGTCTCAGAGTATTGAAAAGCAAGGAAGGAAATAATGAAAGACGAGAAGTTATCAAACGGATTCCACTCTTGAAGTAAATTAAACATATAAATACTGAACTAACAATCAGACAATCAACCGACTTCTTAATTCTCATTCACTTACTCTTTAATGTGCTCCTTCCGGAAGAGTATCAAAATATTTATTACTCAGTACTGATTTTTCAAATCGAGTATACTATTTCGTTATATTTACATGTGCAACATTTCTACTTTTCGAAAAACAAGGCAGTAATTGATCTTAACTTCTCGAAGCATGTAAAAAAAAATATCACCCGATTAATATCTGGTTTTTGAAATAAAATTCATTAATAACTTTGCCCGAATTCTGACAATCCTATGGCGCAATTCCTGAATTAAATGATAAGACGTTCTTAATGAACAATATATTTCTCTCGTTTAATATCACCATCAAACAGGTTTCAGTCCACTACAACAAAATGTTCGCAACCTTTTTGTTATACGAAGTGGATGTCACGAATATTTCCAAGTCAAACGAATGGAAAGTTAGTTTTGTCAAAATACCAAACGTGATAAGAATCGCATTAGCACATCAGCAATATAGCACGCAGCAATTAACGTATCCATTGACGGTGCTCCCCTCTTTCCAATCTCTAGATAATAAACATAATCATAAACTGAAACTAACTGCTAATTAGTCATGCTGTTCAACACCATGTAATTGGATAAGGTATACTTTTTAAAAGTTTCATTGGTCATGCAGCAACATAATCCTGCTAATATGCAGACTTGATATCCGACTAGAATTAATAAAATTAGTACTAAATACGGCCGTAAATTACTGTAATGAACTGCCAATTACTATTCTTAACTTTCATAACGGATTCTCTTTTCCGTTCGTCCATTTATTTCGTCACTTCATCTCTTTCATCTCTTCATTTATCACTTTCGAGGATTGCTTAATAAATACAACTGCTTAAATCTAAATATTAGTTGAAGAGATAAGAAAGTAAGATAGATTACCAACTTTCCAGTGAATCATGCATTTGTTAATTTGAAGCAGTGGAGTGTATGGACAGTTTATAGAAAGGCAAAGACCAAAGGTGATAAAGAAATGTCCGACAATCCGCAAGACAAATGACACTTTCCAATAACCAATTACCATACTTTCCAATCCAAAACATGTTTATAGTAATTATTAAGACTTTTCAATAACATTAAAAAATGTATAGATTGAGAGGATGTGAATAATGAAAACTCAGGAAATCTTGGTGATATATCTTAAAAATTAAAAACAAGAAATTGACAGTCAAGATGACTATGACGGCTGTCGAATTATCAAATGGAAAAATGCTGTCAGGAAAGGAAGGATGAATGAAAGGCGCATATTTCCCGATCAGTGACAGAATCAGGTTGACAACAGGCCATTTATCATATCGCATCCTGAAATGCAATCTCTTCACATTCTCTATGACAATGCGTATAATGGCAGTCTTCGCTTCTCCATTCCTTCGACCAGTTCCCTGCATTTCACTCATTCTCTTTGTCTAAAGTACAAATTTCTCCAAAGCAAACACGGTGCCTCCTTTAATTAGATGTTGTTCGGGCCTCTCTGCTCTTCTGATCCAGGTCGCCTTCCTGCCCGATCCTCAAGTGATCACACAATTACCAAATGATACTGATTACAGAGCTGTCTGATTCACTACCCAAAACTTTGTAAATGGAAGCAAAGAACAGAAGTTACGCGAACATTGCTCTGCGTAATTATTTGCTTATAAGACTCCAGTACTCTTCAAGAGCAAAAAGGATGAAAGTAATACAATCCTTTATTTATTCTTTTATTTGTTTAGTTGAGAAAACAATTCCGATATATGGTCACATACTCTCGGCCCAATTCACTGTTGCGCAAGACCATGTATTTGCTCGTTTCAACACTGTTCAATTATGCGGCCATTGCCATCTATGTCACCGAACTGTTTCTCCTCCCTTTCCTTTTCCTGTTCGTTGCTTTCAAGTACCACTTGAAATTATCACTTCTCATTATAAATTTTAAGGAATTATTTCAGATTTTAGTATGTCTGCATGCTATTGTTATGATTCAGATTGTTTAGAAAGCAAATAATGGTTATGTGGCAAAATATGACTAAAAGCTATGATTTTTTTTCCATATCTCTCATTAGCTTCCCTGCGCACCGTGGGATACTTCACAGTTCATTAGAAAGAAAAAACTAATTAATTTCAACATCACTGCATAACTAATCGACTAAAACTACAAGTGCATATTAACATTCGAAGCAGGAGCTTTGATAAATTGATGAAAAATGAATTACTGAGATTGAAACGAAATTTGGTTCTTTTCCCTCAACACTCCTCTCTATTCCCGGGAAAAGGGCAATACACCTGCAGCAAACTGCTTTAATAAAAGAAGTTTCGAACCATAAATGTGTCATTATTCCCTAACTCAGCCTCAATTTGCTGCTTTTCATTCAGATTCAAATATAATCATTCTGAAATTACTCGTAACTCGAAATTTGTTTTTTGAAACATTTGGATTTACTACCTGCAAAAACATAGTAATGGTTGCGATATAATAACAACAACTGAGCAAAATGACTGGATCAAATTAAGTTGACATTAAAGAAATCCAAGGTAACATTACTTTAAATACAGCCATTCCTAGGGAAGTAATGAAAAGCAGTATTTCAGCATGAAATTTCATATTGTGATTTTAAGAAGCAACAAATATGTACGATAGCCCGCCCAATATGATATAATTTGGATATAATAACATATATTTAGCAACAGTGTAAATTATTGTAACACCTGTATATCCCGGAATGAATCATAAAAAAACAGGTGAATAAGAGATGAAAAAGTGGAGGATGCGTTCAATGCTAATCGTTTTAAGGGGCAGATGCGACTCGGTGTCATATTCACTTTCACTGTAAAGAGGACAACGACATACTGACCTTTCTAATACTTCACACAAACACACATTCGCCTCTCAAGTACTACGTCGCGGTAAGTGCTGCTCGCTTCCCCAACAAATCTGACAATTGTTTTCCACCTACTGAAACGTAGAATAAAGACCGTCCTCTCCTCCTCTCTCCTCCACCACCCTCTCTCTCTTTCCTTCCCCTTTTCTCTACTAATTCTTTTGTAAATTAAAACAACAAAAATTTTTTCATGTATGAATGAAAGTGAGAAGAAAAAAAGTGGAATGGAAAAGAAATTTTTTTGTTTTCAAAAAGAATAGATATCATAAAATAGAATATAAAAGGAATAAAAAAGAAACATTGAAAGATATGAAAACAGAGAAAAAGAAAAAAAACAAATGAAATGTGAAATGAGGTAGAAAATATACAATAATAGAATAGAAATATAATTGAATAAGATTTTTGAAAAGAAAAAAAACTTTTTTCTTGACATACTTTCATTATATAGGCATGAAATAATTTAAAGTAGGTTAAGAGAAGAAGGATTGGATGAGGGTGGAGAGGAAGAGAGGACTAGGAGAAGAAAAGTATTCATTGGATACGGTATT